GCCCTAAGCCCTAAGCCCTAAGCCCTAAAGCCCTAAGCCCTAAGCCCTAAGCCCTAAGCCCTAAGCCCTAAAGCTCTTCTGCGACACTTGGAAAAGCAACCGTGAATGCCATGCAACTATCCAGAACAAGGCGCTTCAGTAAATACAAGGTAAGCCCTGCGGCAAACCATTCTGGTCGACCTAGTGCATAATCCCTGTTTGCGAGGCGTATATATGACTGCAGTCACCAGTGGAAAGATGCTGGTTTGACAGCACTCGACAAGATGAACACAGCGCAAGCTTCGGGCGAAGGTGGTCCGCGTCAGGTCGAGAGGACGAGGGGACAACGCTGCCTGCCACCCGGTGTGGAGATGTCTGAGGTGGCGTCCTGTAATTGGTTCCTTGCCCACCCCGCGAAGTCAATCCATGCTGGTGGACGACGGAACTTGCAAACTACAACAACTCTTGAAGCATGTGTCTTCTCTCGGTTCGTTGTTTTTGCGACCAGTTGTGTGTGCTTGAAGGATCAAGTTCCGTTCAGTGACGTACTATGTACACCGATAAATTGCTTGTTCAGTACGTTGCGGATGGAAAGTTCATCTGTACTTGTACGGGACGCGCCTCACTAACTGATTTTATTTCACAAGGCATACTTACACGACCACGAGTACATGGTCGCATGCACATGAGGTATATGGTCAGCTCATCGGGCTATGCATTGAGGCCAGCCTCGACTCTGTCCATAGTTGAGCAAGACTCCAGTCAGATCCACATCCTGGCTGACCTTCGGTGGATCACCATTTCACCTCAGTGCTATCAACTGTCAATATGGAGCCAGACAGTAGTGCACCTCGAGTCTTGAGCAGTGGTTGACCGGATAGTGAGCGTGTTTCGCAATTTGCGTTAGCCATTTTCTTACTATACCAGGGGCTCGTGTTACACAATACGTCGAACGGATCGCAAGTCTCAGCCGTAAACTGGCTCTATGCAACACCGACATGTCAGCGATACTCCACAGACAAGTGCTTAACTGTTCTACTTTCACCTCCTTTCGCATGAGTGCAGCTCGGTTTTCCTAGGGCGCAGAATGAGGCTGTGGCATTCGCCTATGAGCGAGCGCCACACACGATGTTTCTATGCGGAGTTGGTTGCTGCTTGCTGTTCTCCGGCATTTCATGCCGTCACCAATGCAGACTTCGTACGACACAGCACATTGTTCGCACACTACCGTACGTTATACATATCTTGGCAGGCAAGTCGTTGTTTGTTGGGAGAGTAAGAAGAGAAACGTTGTGCATATCTTGTTTCGCTACAATGCTTCTGACGATCCCAGCTAGGGCTCTAAAGGCATCGTGGTCTCGTTGGATTGTTGAAAACGACAACCTTTCGGGTTATATTGTTGAGTAGATAGAATGTCGAGCAATTCGACGTCGGACAACCGGAGCCACTTGGATGATCTGGTCGGAGTGCTCAAGCAGTTTTCCGAGCAGTCATGCATTCACGAGCTCCAACGTCTTCTCAAACGTGTGGAGACCTTGCGGACGAAAGTTAGTGAATACGAAGCCATAATTAAGTCACAAGAAACGACGATGATGGCGAAGTCGGACGAGGTGATTAGGCTGAAGAAAGAACATAAGGATAGGCAGGAAGAAAACATTGAATTTCATGCCAGCCTCCTCAGAAAGAAAGACGATGAAAAATCAGCGCTCAATCAAGCTTTCACCCGTCAGGAGGGCGAACTTAGTGAAGCGAGGACATCCGTCCAGAATTTACAACAGCACAACCAGACGCTTCAAGAACAAATCAAAGGTCAAGACGCTGAGGTGAAGAAAATCGAGTCCTCGTTGCGTCAGGCTCGTAGTGATGTTGATCGACTGAACAAATCTCTTAAAGATCAGAAGGAGCAAGCAAAGTCGAAGGAACAGCAGTGGCAGGCTGAGAAAAAGGCGCACGGGCAATTCAGGTTTCAGGCAGAGGCACTCAACATACGCATCGCTGACCTCGAAGCAGAACTGAAGGTGAGTAACCAGAAATTAGGGATGGTTGATGAGCTTGCACCACCACTGCTTGAGGATGATACGGTCGAAATGTAAGTTATGGATCGAATAGACGTTGTCAACACGACCCTATCTCATGAGACAAACAGGTCCAGAAACTTCCAGAAGATATGGAAGCAATGCCTCCTCCTTAGTCAAGCCTGTTTCCGAGACGATAATCCTCCCGAGCAACTAAATGTACGTTAACGCACTAGTGAATCACGCACAAGCTGATGCTATTTAGAATTCTGTTATGTGGCAAAACTTGCGCGCCTCGAATGTGGTTACCTATGCGGTTCCCCTAGCCCCAATCAACAGTCCTCCTGCCAGGAGAATGCGATTATCTACGACTTTGGCTGTTCTGACTAACTCCCTGATTCGCCACCTTTTCACATCAACACACATTCTCAGAAACACAGAAGAGATGGATAAGCTTATGTTGGAAGTGGCTGACAATGACCAGCGCAGAGAGGCTTTCTTGCGAAGGGTTCTGAATTCGGTATCCGAGGATGTCGAAGATCAGCTGTTGGAAGAAAGGGTTAAGTTGGTAGAAGACGAAGTAGTGGGATGCATCGAACCATTGCTCAGTGCCGAGCAGAGTCGGAAGTTGAAGAACGATCTACCTGATGTGCTCAAGCTGGCCGCGAGTCTGTGGAAGTCCCTTCGAAAGCGACAAAGCTATTTCACAATCGAGCCACGACCTCCATCACAGACCACCACAACATGGAAATCGCTAGTGTGGAATGAAGGCAAGAGGGGGTTTTCGGAGGAAGACACAAATGCTCCCACAGATGTCGTGTTCATACTGTTTCCGCGCGTCGTCGCCATTGGTCACGAGGGCGAACAAGAAGTGTTCCCTGGCGTTGTGTTGCTCAAATCCGAAACTGCTGCGGCACATGCTGAGCTCAGTGAACTGCCACCCGCGAATCCGACCCTGGCCCGAACTGGAATTCATCGGTCAATGGGCAGAAAACGAGGCACGGTCGACCAAAAATCACGGCTTGGCTCTTTTTTAGTTCAAAACGGATCTCAAAAGCCATCCGATTAATGACTTCCAGAAAACAGCCTTCACATACGACGACTGATCCCAAGGTCAACCCTCTCTCCAGGTAAATATAACAATATTTGGCACCACGATTCCAATTGTACATAGAGTTTGTCACTTCGCTCAGCTCTGCACTGCTTGTCAGTGCCGCACGCGTCAATCCACACATGTTGCAGGCTGTCCTGTCGTGCTCATCAAAGGATTTCTCGAAACTTCGACAGGCTCGGTGCTCGCTTGAGATGACTTCTAGAGAAGTCCTCCGGTGAACAAGTGCGTGTATTGATTAAGCGCATCACTGCAAACGTTCGCTACTTCTCCTCGTATGCTTCTTCTTCTTCTTCTTCCTTTCTCCTCCCCCTCCTTCATCTCTGGCACTAGCAATTCAGAAGCTCTGTTCGAGCTGGAAACACTGCCGCCAGACAAAAGCAGCACGATACACTGAACAGGAGTGGATGTCCATATACCACTGTTTTAAGTAGGATGACTTGTCTCGTGGAGTCTTTCGCGACACCTGGCAAGCGCCATACGGCAAGTCGACTTATCGATAAAGATGCTCAGGTAAGGCAATGCGCTTGAGTCCAGCTGACACGTTACAGCGATACTTCATAACCGAGAACAACGCACGTGTGCCGCATCAATGGCTATACTGTGTTGAAGGCCATGTACTGTACGATTTTGAGTGCTAAAAAGTGGCTTCATTGCATGAGAAAGGTATCCCGTACGCACACGTAATGCATTGCCACAAAGTGCTCTCGGCCTTTCCCGTCTGCTGGACCTTGAACCACGACCTGTAACATTTGAGGAACGAAGGAAAGGTGCGGTTTTGAAAGGATTACGATGCTCAGGCGAACTTTTGTGAGTGAGTGACAGGGTTGCTGGTCCGACTGCTCGTCGCCTTATAACAGGTGTCACTTCATACATAGCGAAATTCGGCTTTTTTGTGGGCCATACAGAACCTAATCTAAGATAAGGACGATTAATCTCGTCCGTTACATCACTTTTGTTACCACTCTCACTGTCGTAAGAACTTAGCTAGCAGACAATAAGCTACGATTTATTCAAGTACATCGACTTCCACAACCTCTGCGAGTATAAGTGCCTGTCCGACGTTGCTGTTGAACAAGCGAACAACGTAGCGATTGTTCACGTTAACATCGGATGGTTGTCGAGCAACAAAAAGATGGAAGTCTGGCGAGGAGGACAGCCGGCATTTTTCACGAAGTTTAGTGCCCTTGGAATATCGCTTAGCCGCTTAGCATCGCCCAGCTACTCAATGCGGCCTTATGCGGCCTTCACTTTCTAGTTCGCAAGTCATCTAATCCTTGTTTGATTTCACAAAGACACCGGCGGTTGGTGCCACGTCCCGTAGCCTTAGCGTGTGTGACGATTAAGATGCTTCCTGTTGAACCTGCTCCTTATCACCCGTGTCGAACACAACACATGATCGGAAAGTAATATTAGCCAATCATCGTCCTTGCTTTCCCACAGGCTTTTGTTACGTTCTTTTGCATCTAAGAGCGATTGGTTCGCTACGCGCTCTACCTATCACGTATTCTGTCACATATTGGCGACCAATACACACACGGATATAACATCCGCCGGCCGTTTCTATTAGGACCACAACAGATAACGGCCAGTAGGAACGAGTCTTGAGTAAGGTTACATGTCTGATCTATACGATTCAGTACTTGGAAGGATTCCAAGTACAGTAGCGTCGGCGGTACGCAGGTGATGTGCCTGCGCACCGCGCACTGGCTATCTATGGTACACCCTAGTAACACGTGGTCTGTTCCGACTAATGTGTGCATGGTCGTAACAATTATTTAAAAAAAAATTAAAAAAAACTATAAAGAAAGGTCTAACCCTAACCCGATTTATTCTACTAGACTTCGTACGACAGCGACAGTCTAATTGATGTTCAGAAACACAGGTCCTTTTGTAATGCGTGCTTCTGTAGAGCTTTTGACCATGTTTTATGCTTGAGATTGTCCCTACCCGGAATGATAATCTGTGTGTCTGCGTGCGATTTCTCACAACGACGAATGATGTCTGATAAGTCGCGTCATGGTCGTACAACACCTGGAACGGCTGGCGCAGGGCCCAGCGTGCCCTAGCCTGGACCTCGCGCAAGGTGCACCTGATCGCGTACTGTACAACAATTCGTCGAAAATATGAACCAACGACCTTCAAAGATTTGTATGGCCTGAGTTTCAAACCTTTGACGACTGATGTCTATCTAGGGGTTTGAGCTTCAAACCGTAAGCTATTGCAGCCAGTAGAGCCTGTGCTGCGACCCATTTTCGAGTAAAAGCAACTTCCATTGGGTCTTCGATATCCTGTACCGCATACACTCTGTCCCGCATAGCATATAAGCAGTTTCTCAAGTGTCGTGCGTGTAGATTACCTCGTCCGCGAAGACTTTCCGCCGATGGCCGATACCAGGATCCTCGAAATCCTCGTGATAGCATCTTAAACATCGTGCTATGTGCCGTTCAAACCTGCTTACGGCATCATATTCCTCATTCTTCGAATTCTGCTAGAATCGCACCTGTCGCGCTCGTATGTCAAAGGTGTTCCAAAACCAGCACAATCGCGCAGCGACTGCTGTGATAAGTAGAGGTGACTATGGCTGACAACAATACACGTATCCTAACTGCTATATACCTTGCTCATAACCACCCTGACAGACTATCTCCAGCTTACGGACTTGAATCATAAGGTCCTTCACCATAACACACTCCATCCACGTCCCCTACGTCGACAACCCCACTCACCCTCCCATCACTCCCCCCAAACCTTATCATCTGCCCCTGCCCGTACTCCGGCCAGCCTTTTCCCTCTAAGCCACCCTTCGGATCTTGCATAAACGCCAGTACGAAGTCTTGCATTGTCTCACTCACTGCTTTCTCCTTCTGCAGTTCCTCCTTCGTCATGAGATTGCTGCGGAAGTCAGCGTACGTGCCGAACAGCATTGGCAGATCGGTGTCGTGATACGCTCCTAGCCATGGTCGAGGAGAAATGTTGGTGAAGTTCCCTGCGTATTGGTAACGGAAAGTCTTCGCGCCTGCTTTCTCCCTCAGCTCGCTTGTATCGTGACTCGGGCAAAGGAAAAGGGCTGCAGTCGTGGCGTCGGAGAACGGCTGGTATGGTCCAGCAGTGCGGTTGTTTATAGGATATGGATATCCTGCCGCTTCGTTGGCGGTAGTGCCGATGATAGCAGGAAGGTAGGAGAAGAGGCCTTGGGAATATTGGGAGGTGTAATTTGAGAAAATGATTTCCTCGTCTGCGATCGGGCCGAATGAGAGGGTTGGGAGCGAGCCGTTGTTGTTGTCGTTATATTGGCCTATAAAATTGAGAATGCGTGAGGCTGGTTGGGATCGCATGCAAGCGATTTCGTCTGAGAGGGAGAGGTTGCGGCAGCCTATGGAGTGGGCTACGAAGGTGAAGTTGTTGTGTGCGTCTGACGTGGACGGGATAGGGCGGCCGTCGAGGATGTTTGTGGTCCCGGATGACAAGACGAGCCCGGTCACGAGTGGGTTTTTATAGAATGCGAAGTTGTGTGCATCTGTGCAGGCGGCGCCAGCGGATTGGCCCCAGAGTGTGATACGGGTAGGGTCTCCACCGAAGGAGGCGATGTTGTCGTATACCCATTGTAGCGCCTGGCGTTGGTCGAGGATAGCAAGATTTTGAGATGGGAGGCTAGCGGAGCCAGGGAAGCCGAAGATACCGAGGCGGTAGTTGATGGTGACGACGATATGGGATTGGGTGCGTTGGACCCAGTTGTGGGGGAGTTGATAGGGAATGTCGATACCGCCGTTAACGTAGCCTCCGCCTGTCATGAAGAGGATTACCGGAAGGGATTTAGGAATGTCGAGAGGTGTCCAGATAGCGAGGGAGAGGCAGGATTCAGAAGTCGATGGAGGGGTGGTGCCAGCTGCTGCTGGGTAAGGGGCAGGATCAATAAGGAACTCAGGGACATCTTGGTTGTAGACGCTAGGGTTCGCGGAAAGGTACTGAGCACAGGAGGGCGGGAAGGTGGTGGAGTCGATTAGCGAGGAAGAGTTTGTCAGTGGTGAGGCAGGTGGCTCCCATCGTAGAAGTCCGGTGGGCGGTTGTGCATAAGGAATGTTCAGAAATTGGCGGACATTCGGAGTTGTGCCATTGATGAAGCCAATGTAGGCACCTGTCTTGGTGCTGATAGTCAAGTTCTCATGAGACTGGGCTTGGCAAAGAGCTAAGCTCGCAGAAAGAACAATGAGGAAGGTTTGAGAGAGCATAATGAGATTCGCCTTTACTGGTTGTGACCTACCATGGAACTCAAGGGTAAGTGGCCTATTATATCAACCAAAGGCTTAGCATCTCGAGCTTGAAGCACCGGCAATGCTGTGACGACTCTGCCGTCCCGAGGGCAACGGTAGGGAGCTCAGGGCTGCGGAGCCAGATGTCTTTTGTCGGATAGACATCGTAAATGATATTGGATAGAATTAAATAAGGGCTAGACCTCTCGAGCTTGACGAGGCACCAGCAATGTTGTGCCGACGCTGCCCCCCGGTGGAGGTGGTCAAAAATACAGAGCTGCGGGGCTAGGTACCTTACTCCGTACCAATTTTGCGGGGTCAGACACCATTTATGGGGTTGAGTCCAGGGTAAATATCGTAGATTACGTTAGCGATCCCTTGCCTAGCCGAAGTAGCCCCGACCCTGGTGGCTCTCTGCCAATCGGAAGTGGCTCCCAAAAAGATAGACAGGAACAGGAAAAATTCGGTTGAGCGACTAACTGCCGTGAATCGAAAGCGAAGGAGAATCCGAGGATCCTGGCACAAAGTCTGAAGCTGACTGGTGGGCAATATAGTTATTGGTCAGCCGGATGATACTCTGTCCAGTCAACAGCTACTCGTACCAGCCTGCAGTCCTCATGCCTGAGTCCGTGCTCTTTTTTTTCCCCCCGGAGTCAAGTTCTCCTCATCATGATCGAGTAGTGTTGACGTTGCCAACCTGTGCTGTGCGGATTGTTGACGCGTTGTGTACGAGTGCGCAGCCTGAGAAAGAAACAAGGTCGTGGGGAACATAGAGGGATTTCAGTAGGGGTCTTTCGAAGTCGCATTGTTCGTGATCGTCGCAATTGACGATATTGAGACTTGGTACACGAAGGGTCAAGCATGTTCGAGGGCATCGATAGAAAGGAGGACGAAAACGAGGTCTTTGGACCATGGCAAAGTTGTGGGAGGTGGTTAAACCGCCAAGTGATTAAATCGGACGATCCAGTGATGACTGGCATCCGAATGTCGGAACCAGGTCGGGAAAAAGTACCAGACCAGGGTGGTTTCTTGAGGCATTAAACGAGCGCCCATGTCGTAGCACCTGTTTCGGTAGAATTGAGTTTGGTATGTAGTTGTCGATACTGATGGATTTTACTTAGGTCATACACCCTCATGTTGCTGCTCCAGTCGAAGAATCATGCTGTTCCAGTCGGAGCGAAGGAAATCTGGGAAGCCTCTTTCTGTGATGTGATCGAACAACCCTTAAGGGTTCTCGATCGTCGTGGTAACTTCTAGATTCACTAACAGCAGGTGTAACTGAGTCGTAAGTCTCGGATTGTGACAGGGGAAGAATCGCAACAATCAAGTGCAGGCGCCTGGTGACTGTGTCGTCGCTGATCTCGATCTGGTTTTGCTTGTGCTTTGAATCTCATCATGCCAATCTCCAATTGTCACTGCGATGTGCTGAGTACTAGTTACTCCAGGAGATATTGAGCGTGGATCTCGTAGGCAGGAGGCGAAGGGTTGTATCACAAAGTCAGATCTTCAGTCGCGTGTATTGGTAGCCAGTGTTTATGGAGATCTTGTCGAGCCTGTCGTTGACCATCGAGCCTCGCCGAATATGATCAACCACCTTCGCACGTTTCTTCGCCTCTTTTCAGCGATTACAGTCTGGCAATTTGCTATTCGTGCCACTCCAACCTGTCCTCGCAGTCTTGAGTATGATCGATCTTGAAGTAGTGCGAATCGTGACTGAGGTTGCAGAGGCTCGTGGGAAGTATGAGGAATCGTGTGCTGAAACAGCTGCCAGACAATGTGAGAGACACAGTCTGTCCGTAGATTGCGTGGAAGATCAAAGGTGGCCGTGAGATTTTGAGTTAGTAAGTATTCAGTGCGGACGCCTCCAGAGAACAACGTGTTAGTGTAGCCCAGGTTCGAGTCACACCACAGTAGCTAGTCGTAGAGCAGGCTGGATTGTGTTGTTTGCGCAGGGACTTGAGCAGTGATTGAGCGTCGACATGAGTTATCAGCTCGTGGAGGCAATGTGCTGCTGCATTCGGACGGTTCATACAAAATGTTTGTGGAGTTTCGAACACAGACATTCTTGTCTCAAGGTTTTGGATGTGGAAAGAGTTGCCGCCCATAAACGTTGTCGCCTCTGAAGCAATTGAGCATACTGTGGCGAGCTATATGAAGTATGCCGACGAATTCACCATGCAGACTGCGCTCACCTTCACCTCTGACAACAACAAACAAAGTTGACTCTCAGGCACACCATATTGTCGCATGGTCGTCATCGAATCACCGGTATCACACAGACGACGACAATTCCATGCTTCCCAGTCAGCCACGAGAAATCTACAGTGAAAAGGCCTCCGTCCTCTATCCGAATTAACGCAGATCCTCTTCGAAGCTCTTAATCATGTTCTGACGATCGTCAAGCTGCTGAGACCGCTAGACTACCACCTTTCTACGTGCGACACCACGAGCGATGTATTAGACGTCCTGACAGTCCATCGCAGTCCTCGTTCGAAGACCTACAATCATGAGTGCGTCTCGCGAATCGGGATTCGACAAGTCATACACATCGAATCTGTTTCGGCAGCATTTCGAAACTCCTCTACACTCGCTGAAGCACGATCTTTGCACATTCTGAAATATCTCACACAGCACGAAGAATAGCTTTCTGCACAGCTGAACCAGACCAAGAGTTTGTACAGTATGGCTAGGTTTGAGACATGAAATAGTGATTTGCAGGTGGGAAGAGGCCCAAGTTCGAGAGAAGGACGAAGAAACAACGACGAAATGAACCGCCCTCAGACACCACGTCGCGTCGTCCTCTTTTCTACCCGGACTGCGACCTTGGTATCTGGAACACAGCTTGTGGCATGGCTGAAATGCTTGACCAGTGAGGTCGAAAGAGCCGATACCAATTTCGAACTTCGCTCGAGATAGGAGTAGGAAGCACAAGAGCCTACAACATGCCAGAAATGTAGCGCATCGTCATGGATATACCTGACGATCCGATCTAGACCGCGACAACTCAGTGCTACGACAGCAAGATGGTCTTGCAAGATACAGTTGCTCACGATGTCACGGCACGGTTCAATTTTGCACGTCTAAGGCCTCGCACGGCGAAGTTCTTGCGAGCACTGCCATCTACACTTCTACCAAGTGCTTCGGCTCGTCACCCAAATGCGAAGAGCTGTCAACAAGGAAAAGCGGCCAGGTTTGCCATTGCATCGTCCACAACCTGCTCCAATAAGCCTGTTGACGCCAATAGCCACCAATAAGAAGGCCTACGACAAGGACTGGACATACCGACATACTCGTCGAGCAGACCACGATGTTCAACGACGAGTACCGATCGTTCTGCTACCCGATAAGGTATATCTACCAGTTCTCAATCACTCCTTCGATCACAAGCATCGTCTGGCAGCCTACCACTTTTCCTCCACATGTTGCCGATTGTCCTCGTCAAATCTAAACTTCGTGCGATCGAGTTCCTTTCTGCGCAAGCACGTTACCTCCATGTTTGAATCCCAGGCAGTGCTCCTTCGCGTCAGCCGAGAGAGAGTCTGGACTTTCTCATGTCACGGCTTACGACTACGCCAGGATATATGCTTCGGCTGCGTGGTTGAGGACGAGATATACAACTCATCAAACATAGGCCAAAGTGCTCATCGTTGCATTCTCCTATGGCAGGTTCCCATCGATGTGCATACAGCCAGCGAGGCCTAACCAGGAAATTATTGTCCTACGCACCAGAAGATGCTGTCACTAACCTCGATGACACCTGTTCCTGCCCATTTCGCCTGAAGGATTACTGATTTCTGATAGTTTCGACATACGACTTCTTGATGACAACATTCAACACCCTTGGCTGAGCAACCTATGCTGAAACAGATGCCAAAGTGAAGATGCTGATCCAGACTTTGAGTGCTTTTGAAGTCTTCTGAAGCAATCTCGTCTCTGCTACGAGCATATCGTCAAACTCTGCAACCCTCCTAGGTCCTCAAGTGTCAATATCGAACTGCTCTTCGACCATCTCGACTCAATTTCCTTCGCTTCAGCTTTCTCAGCTGTCCACTAGATCGTGGTACTGGCGGCTTGCGAAGCAACAGTGGGTGTCACAAGCTGGTAGCATCTTCACCGAAGTTGATACGAAACGACTACACCCACTCATTCTTAGCACCGAAGAAGCCTCGAGAACACACGAGATTGATGATGCCACAGCTGCGAGCTCTGAGTATGCAGCCGCAGGAGTCCGAGATCGCGGTGATCAGCAGTCTCTCGACAAAGTCTGAATACTTTCTATAACGTACTCTGCCGTGTATTGGCGACCAATAGAAACATCATCAGACATGTACATAAAGTACGGTAGTTAGACAGGAACAGGAAAATTCGGTTGAACGACTATCTTTTTGGGGGCCCACAGGCAAACCTCGTATTGAAAAGAACAGCATCACGTTGTGGGCTATACCACATCCAGCCATCAACGAGCCTTTGGAACAGCCATTGCCTCGGTTTTGATCAGCTCGTGCCCCGACGCAGCATTTGAGTTCGCCAGCGCTGGTGATCGAGTCCCGAACATCTCTTGTGATAATGAGCTTCAATCAAACAAGCTGCTAAGCTTCATGTTCGTCAACCTTTTCCAGTCTTACAACAAACTACTTCCTTCAGCGTTCGAACTATCTGTTCTACGATATGACACGCATCCGTGACACTGTGATACCGTCTCGTCTTCTACAATATAAGAAACGCTTTTGTCTTCGAGGAACACATATCTTCGTGACTAGCGTCAAGCTAAGAGCGCCGCCTCTCAGCCGCAAACTCAATTCGTCCTATCCCTGTAGGTCGAGAACCAGTTCGAATTTCAAGATACTTTACACGACTGTGCACGACCTCTACTACCAATCATTAAGCTCAATTTATGTTTAGCCTTGTATTCGAACCCGATACCGCTTCTTAACTCTTTCCCTTACTAACCAGTAAAGGGTGGTACTAATTACAAGCGA